ATTCTTAATACTATCACCATGATTATTAATATCGGTATAACCACCAGTATAATTATCATTCATGATGTCATCGTTATTATTATCACCATCATTATTGCCACTATTATCACGATAACCATTATTATTGATATCATCATTGTCATCAGCATCATCACCGTTACCATTACTATTATTATAATAATTGAGATCATTATTATTATTGTTATTATTATTATCAGCATAAAAATCATGAACATGATGATCATGATCATGATCTATAATATCATCATTGTATTTTTGAGATGAATGGCGATTTTTTTCAAATTTACAGGTAGTATCCATTATGGACTGACATCTCAGTTGGAGAATGATTGAAAATCTGAGAGCACTAGACAGCTGTTTCATCCTGGTATGGGTGAGTACTGCTGAAGGGTCTCAATACTAAGACGAAACAGTTGTTCACTACTCCCAGATTTTCAATGGTTCCCCAACTGATGTCAGTCCATGGTGAATTATTATTATTATTATTATTATTATTATGTCCCCTGGGTTGCTAGTGGAACATAAAGCTTCAGTAGCACGTCTCCAGTGAACTCTGTTCTCTGAGATCTTTTGAACCTGGTCCCACGACAGCCCACAAGCTCTCATTTCCTCCTCACACGACCTCCTCCATGTCACCCTCGGACGTCCAACTCGTCGCTTCCCATGGGGATTCCACTCGAGCAACTGGCCTGACCGTGATGTCCTCCGTCGGCCTTCTCAGTGCATGGCCAATCCATCTCCACTTCCTCCTGCATATTTCTTGAGCAATAGGTTCTTGGTTGGTTCGTCCCCAGAGCTCCTTGTTGCTTATTCTCGTTAATCTGGCCATCTGATCTTCAGTAACGAGCCAGAGTAGGCGGCAGTTGTTGATGAATGTCTGTAGTTTATTGGAAATCCCTTTCGTGACGCGCCAAGTCTCTGAGCCATACAAGAGCACTGACTTGACGTTGGTGTTTAAAATCCGGATCTTGTTCCACATGCTGAGTGCAGAAGATCTCCACACTGGTTTCAGGCTAATGAAGGCCTGTCTTGCTTTTCCGATTCTGACTTTGACGTCCTCGTCCGTCCCGCCTGTAGTTGAAACAGTGCTTCCTAGATAAGTGAAGGAGGTTACTTCCTTTAACTTTCTCCCGTTGACGGTGATTGGAGTTTGTTGTTGGTGGTGGTGCGGTATCTTCATCACCTCTGTCTTCTCTATATTCACCTGAAGTCCCGTCTTCGCTGCCTCTTCTATCAACTTGTTAGTTTTTGCCTGTAGATCTTCAAGTTTATGTGACATCAGGCACAAGTCATCATTGGCGAAATCCAAGTCTTCTAGGTTCTTTTCCGCAGTCCAGTGTATCCCCCTCTTCTCGCTGCCCACTGTTTGCTGCATGATCCAGTCCACCACAATAAGGAATATCATGGGGGATAGTAGGCAACCTTGTTTCACTCCTGTCTTCACTTCAAAAGCATCACTGGGCTTCCCATTGTGAATTACTTGGCATGTGGCATCTTCATATACTACCCCGAAATACCATTGTTATTGTTACTACCATCATTATTTTCTTCATCATCATCATTAATGTTATTGTCATTATCACTGGTGTTATTATCACTCTCTTCATCAGTAATATCATTATAACTTTTATCATTACTATAATCATCGTTAGCATTGTTGTTAATATCATTATTATTGCCATCTCTATCAGCATCATCATCGTTATTATTCTTACCATTATCATCACCATTACAATTATCGTTATCATAAGTATTATTATTATTATTATCATTATCATTATTGCCATCGTCATCATTATTGTGATTAAAATCATGATTGTTATCAGAACCATCATCACAGTCAACATTATTGATGACGTCATCAATGTTATTACTGTCATAATTATCATCAACTTTATTATTAATTCCATTACCGCTATTGTTATTATCGGCATTATCATTATTATTACGATAATTAGTATTATCACCGTCAGGATTATCATTATTATTATTGAAGTAATTACGATTGTTTAGAAGTAGTATTCATCATGGACTGATATCAGTTGGGCAGCCACTGGAAATCTGGGAGCACTGGACAGCTGTCTCGTCCAACTAGTATGGGACTTCTCAGCAGTACGCACCCACAACCCGGCTACGGATCGAACTCAGGACCTTCAGGTTTCATGGCGAACGCGTTAACCATTCAGCCATTGGGTCGGTTTCCAGTGGTTCACAATTTCCAACTTCTGTCAATTCACAACATAGCGTGACTGTCACCCAAGGTCTTCAGTTAGCACCCACATCACTTCCGACTGGTTGACCCCATAGGTCACGGCTTCTCATCAGAACTTCCAGATATCTATCTGGAAGCAAGTCACCAATGAGCACTACACAGTAATGTATTTTTGAGATGAATGGGGATTTTTAATTTAGAAGTAGTATTCATCATGGACTGACATCAGTTGGGGAACTATTGAAAATCTGGGAGCAGTGGTTAGCTGTTTCGCCGCGAAACCTGAAGGTCGCGAGTTCCATCCCTAGCCGGGTCATGGGTGCGTACTGCTCATGAGTCCTATGATAGGACGAAACAGCTGTCCAGTGCTCCCAGATTTTCAATGGTTCCCCAACTGATGTCAGTCAATGATGAATACTACTTCCATTCATCTCAAAAATTATGATTATTATTATCATCATATCATTATCATTGGTAATAACATAATTGTTATAGTTATTATCCCCATTATTACCACAATCACCACTACCATTTTTATTATTATTACTATCTTTTTTTACTACCATTAATACAACTATTATTGTCATTATTATTATTATTATCGTCATTATTCTTATCATGCCTGTTATCATTACCATAGTTATCATCACTATCACTATCATTATCATCATTAGTATCAACATTATCATGATTTTTATCACTAGTATTATTGTAATTACGATTATTATCATTATTACTACTACTACTATTATTATTATCACTATTATTATTACTATTATTATGGTACAGCGAGGGTACCAAGAAACACGCCACACAAAACAATATGACATTATAAGGATATAAAGCGAAGGGAAATGGATAAGTAAGAAGGAAAAACAATGAGAAAAGAATGATTAGAAGGGCGGTTCAGTAAGATGTATTCAAAAAAAAAACACTCATTACTTTTCAGAACCCGAAGATACAATGAATCTACAGCATGACCGCAACTGGCTTCAATTCTGAGTCATATCTCATAGCGTCCCACTGAATTGCATCATCTCTCAGAGTCGTGATGTACCAACATATGCTTACCCCATACAACTACCCTTCATCCCACATAGCCATATCATACACTGACCACCTATCCACTTCTTCCATCCACCCCAAGATCAAGAGCTACCTAACAATGAACGACGTAGAAACCGTTGGGATGACATGCGTAACACATGTTAAAGCCGCTGAAGCCGGTTTCCCGGATGACTTCACGTTGTCGTATCTCACAATTACTCACGTGGTGATGCCAACGGATACGAGAAATCCTTCAAAGACAGCAATGATCGAATACAGAGTCGTTTCACAACCCTATCTCATAGGGGTAAGGTTTCATAGGCGTAGAGCAGAACTGCTCGCACCGAAGTGTTGTAAACCCGACCCTTTATGGTGAGAATAACGTCGCAACGGTGCCAAAGGTGGCCCACATTAGCATATACCGCTCCATAAAACTCTACACCTAACTTCCGCGTTACTGACATGGTGACACCACGGAACACGGCGTTTCCTTCGAAGGTAACAGTGGTCGAACATCTGAGACCTCATGTCCTTTAACCCTTATGACCACGTTACACAGTCATACAGTAGAATGGAAAGAAGTGAAGCATTGTACATTCGACTCTTACCAGGCAATCGGATATTGTGGTAGCACCACAGGTGTCGTTTGTTAACAAAATCCAGTCAAGCCTCAGCATCTATGAAGAGATCTTTCCGGCCACTAATCCACTAGGGCTGATTCGACTTCTCAGTTAAGTGAAGTGTTCAACGCACTCGACTATTTCACTCTCTTCTGTTGGGTGGGATACCGCTGAAGGCCCATTCTGAGTAGTGAGAAACGCATCCCAAACATTCTCGACTTGTCACTACTCAGTGTCCAGAAGACTATTTCAATGTCATAATTATATGAAGAATAATTTGAGTAATAAAATGTTATCAGGCATATACTGACTGGTTAAGCGAAGTTTTTCAGAGCAATCTCATTTAATAAGATGTAAGGTTAAATGATGTGCACAAAGAAGACAGAACTCAACTGTATGACACACGGTTATGGTTCCACAACTAATAATGCGACATTTACATATTATTACTATTACTACTATTATTATTATTTATGAATTAATGAAAAGACATACACAATGAAGTCATTCACTTGGTAGTGGCTAGCAGAGGAATCCAGGACCCGCATTTTTGACCAGTCGCAAATAGGAAGAAATGCGCGTCAAGGTGGATTTCACTGCTAGCTATTACCAACCAATTTATCATAATTAACATTCAGGCAATATCGAGGCATCTCCGTATACGAGCCCATATGCCAACACAGGTCGAACAATTCCATCCAACAAAACAATGGAGAATAACAAGTATGTCAATAAATAGTAATAACTACTACCCGTTGAACAAGAAGTGGCTGTCGTTCCTCTGCGGCATAGTGGATAACGCCTCGGTGTTTGAAGCGATGGGTACGAGGTTCGAGCCTCAGTGAGAACAACATCACTGGGGTGCAGGTACATCCAACTGATGAGTGAGTCCCAAATAGGACGAAACGCACATCCGGATTCTTCTGCTGGTTACAACCAACCAATTTATCGTAATTAACATTCAGGCAATATCGAGGCATCCCGGCAAAGGAGCCCATATGCCAACAGAGGTCGAACAATTCGATCCAACAAAACATGTATATCAATAAATAGTAACATATAAATAATTAGTAATAATGAATAATCAGATAATCACTAACCTGAAAGTTTCAATTCCGACAGAATCCTATAATTATTATTATTATTATCATTATCCCAAACTGTATTACAGCCTAAATGTTCATCACTGTCTATAGTGATTGGATGATGAGATGATTCATTCTGGTTAGGATCATTTTCTACACATGTAAAACTCTGAAAGTAGAACAATAAGCGAGATAATAATAATAATAATAATAATAATAATAATAATAATAATAATAACCAATCTCTGAATAATTTCTTTGTGATAGAAAGTTGTTAGTCATACATATGAGATTGATGAAACGGTTACTGCAGGATATTCATTCAATACTGACAAATGACACCTAATTATTAGTTGTACATTAGGCTAATTAGCTAGAATAGTCAATATGAGCTAAGAGTATGACATGATATGATTTGTAGGATTATAAGAATTTTGTGTATTTTAAAGTAGTATTCATCATGAAGTGAAAACATTTGGAGAACCATTGAAGACCTTGAAATACTAGACAACTGTTTCGTCTTGCTATGAGACTCTTCATCAATTGACACTCTTTCAGGTTCCGTGGGGGGTTCGATCCTTGAGGGATCATAGGTTTTCACTGCTAGAAGTGGCAGAAGAACAAATATGATTGGAAAGATGGAAACATCAGTAGATCAAATAAACTCGAACACAAGATATTTTATGACAATAAGAGAGAATTTGAAACAATTAGTCCCTTTTATGAATTTGGGTAATGTCATCATCATCATCATCATCATCATTATCAACATAGGACCAGGCATTACTGCATAACGGTCCAACTTGCCACACCTCACATCAGTTCATCAAATAGAAAGGTAGTCAGGTGAAGGATGAAGATAAGTGAATGCAGTCAAAAGAAATATAAAGTACGAGAAAAAAGGAAAGAGAAGTGACAAAATGGTGAGATTCGGTATAGTGTAGTTAAGATGACGATAATGTATGTATACATCTGCACCACTGACATCGGTTCCCAGCCATATCACCTACAGTCTCCAACCACTCGTTCCTCTTGTCCCACCGACCCTAACCACCTAGTCTGCATCTTCCTACATGGCTTAAACCAACAGTCAGAGACTTCATACATTGGTGCCATGTTTTAGTGTGGCCACCTCAGGCCTTTTTCCAGCCTGGACCCACCTCAGCCAACATTGTGTGGCGAGGCAATCAGTGACTAGGCATAGGTAGTACGTGTCCCAACCAGCCATCTCAGTCCATGAAGGTTCATAACCTCGTCAACTGACTTACCTCTTCTCCCTAAAACTCTATACCTGACTTCTGCATTACTCACGTGGTGACACCACGGAATACGTCCTATACTACGAAGGCAACGGTGATCAAACACCTGAAGCCTTTTTATATCTTCCACTTTCAATGGCCATGTTTCACAGCCATACAGTAGAACAGAGCGGACTGCTGTGCAGTACATGCGATCCTTAATAGACAAACGGACAATCGAACAATCTGATCACACATTCACTTGTTAAGGCATTATATATGAAAACTGGAAGTGGGGGAAGGATACATATGGCATAAAGGATTCAATAAATAATAAGAAAGATAATGAGAGGAATAAAAGATAAGACTTGAAGACAATCTTGGTAATACGATAAAATAAGCATTACCAAGGTAGGCTTAATGTAAGGAAAAACTGTTTGTTTGCACACACAATGGGGCGTTAAATTTATTTATGGCTAGCACCTCAACAAACTTAAGTATACGCCCCTGACTAATCGTGATATGCACTTGACAGTAGGGGAACATGTTCCAAAGTGGCTACGAAAGCAGCTGCATCACAAACATTGATAAGCGCAGATGGCAGACAACCATCATCATCCATTGCGAAACGTATCATTGATAAGAGTCACAAAATTGATATCAAAACAGCCTTTACAACTTTGTACAGAAACTGTCAAGGGGCGTATACTTAAGTTTGTTGAGGCGCTAGCCATAAGTAAATTTAACACCCCATTGTGTGTGCAAAAAAACAGTTTGTCCTTACATTAAGCCTACCTTGGTAATGCTTATTTTATCGTATTACCAAGATTGTCTTCATGTCTTATCTTTTATTCCTCTCATTATCTTTCTTATTATTTATTGAATTCCTTTATGTCATATGTATCCTTCCCACACTTCCAGTTTTCATATATAATGCCTTAACAAGTAAATGTGTGATCAGATTGTTCAAAATGTATAGCGCTAATACATCACATTTTTGAGATAATCTACGTCTTCTAATTACATTATCCAAATCAGAGAGAAGCTAAAGATACAATGAAAAAAAGTCAACTTTCTCTTCATCAACATACATAAAGGATATACTCTTAGCTATGTAGTACAAGTACAGGTGATAAGTAAACCAAGTCAACTGAATACCGAATCTCGGTTTAAAGTCACGTATAGAACTGTAGGTGAAATACACTAGTTGTATAGAACACGTTAGCTAAAGTTAATGAACAGAACATCATAAATATCATCAAGAATGCTTACTCTCTTATGGAAGTTTGCCTCCCTACATCTCACTTCACAGAGGTTAAAGCTACCTTAGAATAATCCTTGGTAGATCTACAATGCTCAGATGTTATAGTCCTGTTAGATGAAGACGCTGACAAGATACACAGTCTTTTGGACATCTTAAGTGACAAGGGGTGCGTTTCTTACTACCCAAATAAAAAATTTTCCTCCAAAATGGGGCTTTCAGTGGTGCCAATATACTACAGAGTGAAATGGTTGAGTGTGTTGAACACTTCACTTAATTGAGAAGTTGAACCAGAACTAGTCGATTGGTGGTCAATAAAATCTCCGCATATATGCTAAACATTTGGCTGGTTTTTGACATCCGATTACCTGTTAAGAGTCGAGTGTACCCTAATGCATTTCTCTCTGTTCTGCTGTGTGACTGTATAACATACCTGTTAAAAGTAGAAGACATGGAAAGGCGTTTGGTGTTTGACTACCATTGCCTTTGTAGCATATGCCGTGTTTTGTGATGTCACCATGTGAGTAACGCAGAAGTCGGGTGTAGAGTTTTAGGCAGACAAAGTTAGTCAGTTGATATGGCTGTGAACCTTCATGAAGTGAGATGGTTTGAATATGTATTACATATGCCTGATTATCATGTTTCTGGTGGCTCAATATTAACTGAAGTAGGTTCAGGCTTGAAAAGGGCTCGGAGCGACCACACCAAAACATGGTACCATTGTCTGAAGTCCTTGACCGGGAGATGTAAGCTAGCCAGTCGGGGTCAAGAGAAATCAGTAGTTGGAGTCTCTAGGTGATATGACTCAAAACCGATGTCAATGGTGAAGATGTATCCATATGTACATTATTTTCTCATTCCTCCCCCCCTCTTTTACTACTTTCTACTCCTTTCGACCGAGTTTTCTTACCTTCTTCATCTTCCATTTTATCGTCTTGTTGCTTGATGTGCTGATATGAGATGTGGTATACTTGGACCGCTTTGCAGTAATACCTGGTCCTATGCTGATTACGATGATAATGCTATATAATAAAGTCCATTAAAGTCAGTGAGATTATCAAATCATAAGAAATTGTGCAAACATAATATGACAGACACTATCAAAATTAATGACACAGGAGAAAACTTCCCTACTGTTACTTATGCACTGATATACAATTACTCAACATAACCGAATATTACAACATTCTTAATGACTAAAATACTTAGGTAGAAGGAGAGGTGCCAGTCAGTAACTACTACCTTCACGCGACCTAACGAATAACGCTGACTTCAACCATTGTTTCTTGAAGTCCAATCATACAAGAAAGATCAGTTGGACAGTTGCCGTTAGTATTGTAAACAGATATGCTATGATGGCGATTTGCGGGTGAAGTTGTTCTAGAGGCTGGATGACAGTGTGACAGTAGTAAGATGTTTCGCGTAGATGACCAGGAGTACAATGTTTTCCCTATAGGAAGAGGTGTTACGAAGAAGTTCGATCCTAAAAAATAGCCTATTTTACTTTGTCTTAGGGTATTCAGATGGTGATGATCTGTGCTTTTCTTGTTCAATAAATAGCACAATCGAATCCCAATCTAACCATCCCCAAAAAGATAATGTATGGCAAGTTTCATCACACAGGTATTTCAATGGCCCAGTAATCATGTAAAAGCAATCCCTATTCTGGGAGTAATCGTTAACACGGAATCACCCTACCGTGTATTCATGATGGATAGTGGTTAGTAGTGAAATCCAGGACTCGCGTTTCATCCCATTCTCGGCTCTTCAGGTGGACGTACCTGACTCTCAGTCAGCGATGTTCTTCCCACCAGAACTCAAACTTAACACTGGTCGCTTCAAACGCCGGAGCGTTATCCACTAGATCACCGAGTCACGACAGCCGCTTCTTGTGCAACGGCTATAGTTTTAATATTGTTACTTATATTATCCTATCGTTGATTGGACCAAATTGATCGATCTCTTTTGGTTGTACAAGCAACAACATTCACCCTACCCTGTATTAGATAGAATTATTTAATACAGAATTATATGAAAATCTGATGAACCACTTACTTTGTTCACTGGACAATTATAGTCAGCTGTTATGACAGGTAACTGATAGTTGGATGGGGAGCAGATTCTACAACATAGAAGAATAAAGGGGACAAGTAATAACAATAATAATAATAATCACTTTAATTCAGACAATAGTTTTCAATACAGTAGGTAATTCTCAGTATGATATTCCAACAAATTTACCCCGTGTACGATAATTTCAAATCATATAATAACCGTCACAATTGAATAGTGTTAATAATACCAGTATAATAGGCAATAGTAGGAAACGACCAGTTGTTCTTAGGTTATCGTTTAGTTTATGGGTATATTGTTGCACCGGGAAGTGGCAGGGGGAGAAAATAGGAAAACACTTATAGGTTCAGTAATGGAGGATTTACCTAACTAGAATGAAAATTTGCATTTCCTGCTAACCATCCCTTTAATATTTCATATGATGAACTGCTATAAACTCAAAAGTTGAAGACGTTTTAAGAATGTTCAACGGTATATCTTACAATATGTTGACAAGTATAAAAAGAAGTAAAATGATGTAATATATATATGACGGTGACTTATGAGTAACCTGCATTTTTAAGAAGGCTACCAAGGTCAAAAGAATAAAATATAACTTTTCTAACAGATAAATAAATATAAATCGTTTGTACACGGATTGGATAACATATATACTATTGATCTGATCATTTGAAGTGATGCTTTTCTATGAAACGTTCTACGTTGATTTATCTGTCTGTGATTGTTCCACAATCCGAAATGGATGATTATACGTTGGCATTCGGGATGTGGTCATTTAAGACAAACATCTTCGATCTCAGTGCATTTGACCAACCTGTGTGTGAATCAACACTACCATTCAAGTATAAAAAGCTGTAATCAAATCTTCTTCTAACAGACTTACTACTCAATTTATCATCAATATATTCATGTTACGCTTTACATCTGAACTACAATATTCCTACATTATTATTTTTAAATAAGCTTGTTTGTATATCTTCCATTCATCCAACTACTACTCACCATTGATCAAACTTTTCATCTGTCTACATCCTCATGAGTAGTTGCTAAACAATCGCTTGTGAACAGCTGTCCTTCTTTGTGACATCTCATAAAACTATCCACAAACCATGTGTATCGTCTAAGCTAGCTGCTTTACCTAAGACTTCAGGACCCCGATGTACAGATCAATCAACAAACAGACAGGATTAGTTAGGACTGTGAAAAGCCTCACTATTGATATGTGCTGTAGCATCTCAGAGACCTGTATACAACATCCAAGTGAAATGTTTGGAATAACGTCTCCACTTTTCAGCTGAAAAAGTGTGATTATTTGGTGATTTTATGGCGTTGGCTGTTTGTCTACTTGTTGGTGTCTAGGCATAGATGTGCATCGTTTAGAGGCGATTAGTTGGTCACTGGTCAGATACTGTGGAACGTCTTCTATAGCTTCATGAGGATCTTAACGTATTTCTAGCTAGGGCAGATTTCCTTCATAGGGATAGTCATTGGGCCACATGGGGTCGCTCTTTGTCATCATCATCATCATTATCAACATAGGACCAGGCATTACTGCATAACGGTCCAACTTGCCACACCTCACATCAGTTCATCAAATAGAAAGGTAGTCAGGTGAAGGATGAAGATAAGTGAATGCAGTCAAAAGAAATATAAAGTACGAGAAAAAAGGAAAGAGAAGTGACAAAATGGTGAGATTCGGTATAGTGTAGTTAAGATGACGATAATGTATGTATACATCTGCACCACTGACATCGGTTCCCAGCCATATCACCTACAGTCTCCAACCACTCGTTCCTCTTGTCCCACCGACCCTAACCACCTAGTCTGCATCTTCCTACATGGCTTAAACCAACAGTCAGAGACTTCATACATTGGTGCCATGTTTTAGTGTGGCCACCTCAGGCCTTTTTCCAGCCTGGACCCACCTCAGCCAACATTGTGTGGCGAGGCAATCAGTGACTAGGCATAGGTAGTACGTGTCCCAACCAGCCATCTCAGTCCATGAAGGTTCATAACCTCGTCAACTGACTTACCTCTTCTCCCTAAAACTCTACATCTGACTTCTGCATTACTCACATGGTGACACTACGGAATACGTCCCAAATCGTAGACTCAAATAAACCATATTGTAGCTAACTGTTTGATGGCGTGAATTAATTCAGGACTCTGATCATGCTTTAGTGTAAGTTCATCTTGAATTTTGGTGGTCGTCGTTAGTGTGTTGTTGCTTCCAGTGGTATAACTAAAGGTCGAAACAAGGTAAAATCAATTCGACTTACTTAACTTTTAGGAAGTATAGGCAAACAATGGTTTCACCAACAAGGGTTCAAAAAAAATTGCAAGCAAAGCTGGTAGTAGTTCCGGAGAATTTCCTGCTTTTAAACACTGAATGTGCATATGGGCTCTTTGCAGCTTTTTGATGCTTGTCAGCCTATCGCAGCAGACACTGACTATAGTGGCATCCGTATTCCGTATTTGAGTAGGGACTACAAGGTCTGATAGTCAAATTGCGAATCAGATGGAATCAGTAGCTGTATCTGCCATTAGTTCTCAACTCTACTGACTTATCAGAACCAGTAACCTCAAACTGCGTGGTATCAGGGGAATAGTGGATAAAACAGATAGTTCGCCGATCACCAAGCCTTATATATATATATATATATATATATATATATATATATATATATACACGTGGTACACCGAGTGAAACAATCCAACAAACATTTTCACTGACTTATCAACTCAATCAACGTCAACTTTAATGTTTTGTGCTCCGAAGTCAATTAACATCAATCCGTTCAACGAATCGTAGATTCAGAAGAAACTTCGAGTACTAAAGTCCTAAAAGGCAACACTGAAGTCAAAGAACAGATTTAACTCCTCGGGAATATATGACAAAGAGAACTTACCGTCACTCTAAAATGACGATATTGTTGTTGTTCATACCTGTAGAACTATTCATTTAACGTACATGGAGTATTCATCAGTGTATGAACATGACACCGGGTTAGGTCAAGAATACTGACTACTGTCATAATTTGCACGCTATGCAAAACACGTGCACTGATCGTTCATAAGGGGAGCAGGTTAGGTTTTCTTCAGGTTATAGATAAGTTGTTCATGCGTTCATTCTCCTTATTTCAAAAAGTAATATTTTCATTTCGTAATATCAGTGCTGCTTTTTATTCACTGGATCATATTTTGATCGACTGAGATCTCTTTAATGCCTGGTACTGGATGAGAAGTGTCTTTGTATCGGAACAAACCAACTTGACACATGTTCATCGGGCTAGACGGTATGAGGTAACTACGAAGTCCCGTTTTGGTTAGAAAGTACTGTTTGTTATTGAAGGGTTTAAATCACCTATAGATTTTTCTGTTTTTAACATAGCTTACGGATACTACATTGGGTAACAAAATCGAAGGAGTAGGCTGCATAGACTAGTCTACCTGTGCGAAGTACGTGAAGTGAATGCTTTGAGACCACTATAGACTAGTATTTAAAATCTCGAAAGCCCCATACTTGAACACAAGAGATAGAGTGTTTGACATAGGAACTCCTTTCTTCATTTTTACCAACCAGAAATATCAGTCAACCGGATCTCCTGATTTCACCATTCGACTTCAGCTTTACCATTAATGGCATTCTGGAGAAGGAAGTGTATAATAGTGGTACAGTTATACTGCCAGATGAAAGACTTTCTAGCCTTGAGTATGCGAATAATGTTGTTTTACTATGCGATAATATAAAAGTTACTAAAACCGCACTTAGTTGGTTTGCGATCAGTTTCCTTAAGTATCCTATGTGCTTCTCATTGTGCAAAGTACCTGCGTGAAATTGACAGTAGCGTACACCTGTACTTAACCTTACCAGTGAAACGTTGGAAGTTATCAAGAAGATTGTGTGTGTGTGTGTGTGTGTGTGTGTGTGTGTGTGTGTGTGTGTGTGTGTGTGTGTGTGGAAGGCCGTGAAGTAGCACACGCTAATCAATGTCACTTTTATTGTTATCAAGACCTTAATCAGACTGTAAAAAGCAGGTTTTTCATTCATCGATCTGAGGGGACTTCTCTACAACAGTGAAACTTGACCTCTCCAAATTGAGGATGTTCGACGACACTGTGTTCGATCGCTGTTATGTTTGAAAATTGGCTTATATTCAATCTAGTGTCCAGATAAGCAGTTCTGACGTCAAACGGTAGATGCTTTTTTTATGATGAAGTTCATCATTCATTGAGTCCAGTCATATTAAGACAATGGTGAATATAGTATTCATCCCAGACTGATATCATTTGGAGATCCATAGAAAACTCCTCAGCATAATAAAATGAAACAATTAACCAGTGCTCCCAGGCTTTCAATAGTTCTTCAACTGATGTCAGTATCTGTGACGAATACTACCTTTGAAACCTTTTTAATCCACACAAGCCCGCTGAACTGTTTTACCTACTAAACCTTGCGTTCAGAATGTGTTATCAAAAGTTCTTAGACAGTTGATTGTTTTGACAGTATTAGTATTGTTTAGAAAAAGTAAAAAGATATCCGGTGTGAATAGTGTTACTAAATGAAAGAATGTTGTATTGTGGTGTTACCATCAACCACTGAGAACTCAATTCTCTACATGATGTCCGACAGACAGTGAGGTTTAATGATTTGAGATGACATGATATATAGATTAAAATCAATATTAACAACAAACCATGTTAGTTATGCCTTATTTTGTAAAAAAAATTACTTTAAATAAAACACAACTCCAAAGGAAACTTTCTTTACAAGCATCTTGTGGAAATGATCTTCTTCTAGGCTTACCTCTTTCCACTATTGCTTTTATAGTGTTACGTAATAGTTTTGTGTGACAAACTTCTTGGTTCTCATATTGTATTAGGTTTGTATTAAATAGATAATAAAGTAATATATACCACTACTGATTTTGTGTATACCCTATATGTATAATAATATCAGCATTGGAACCTGGGCACTACTATGACGTAACGGTCTCAGTTACCACATCTCATGAAAAATTAATTTTTTTTAAAAAAAAGGTTGAAAATAACCGGATATCCAACAAAACCTATTTTAGAAATCAATCTCCACTAGAGATAAATAAGTTTATGTATGCAGAAAGGGAATTAGTCACATTCATGCACATTTTCTCTATTCATCGCTTAAGCCAATGTACACTCATACACAGAACCGATGTATTCTTCTTACTAAGATGAGGATCAACTATGTCAGCCTTCCTTTTCGTTTCGTGTTTCTTAATTTTAGTCCCCTACAACCTTAACTGTTATATTTGTCCCCCCACTCCTCGGTTTAATACTTATGAATTAATGCCATATTATTATTATTATTATTATTATTATTATTATTATTATTATTATTATTATTATTATTATTATTGTGTCCCTTGGGTTCCTAATGGAACATACGGCTTCACTAGTACGTCTCCATTTCACTCTGTTCTCGGCAGTCACCTGAACCTGGCTCCACGACTGCACACAAGCTTTCATTTCTTCCTCGCACGATCTCCTCTATGTCAACCTCACCTCAGACACCTAACTCGTCGTTTTCCCATCGGGGTTCCACTCGACGGGCTGGCCTGGCGTCTGATGTCCCCAGTCGGCTTTCTCAGTGTATACCCAATCCATCTTCACTTTCTTCTGATTAATTGTTCAGCGATAGGTTCCTGGTCGGTTGGTTCGTTCCCAGCCGGAGTTAGTTCCTTGTTGCTTATTCTTTCTGGCAATCCATCTGAGCTTCAGTAACAAGCGTAGGCAGTTGTTGATGAATGTCTGTCATTTGTTGGAAATCCCTTTCGTAACGCGCCAAGTCTCTCAACCATCACATTGAAGCACTGACTTACTTGACGTTGGTGTTGAAAATCCGGATCTTGTTCTTTATGCTGAGTGCAGAAGATCTCCACATTAGTTTCAGGCTAATGAACGCCTGGTGCGGACATTCCATGTTTCCATGATTGCTTTTGCTTTCATCGAGAGGAGAAAAGACTCATCGGCCAACCGGCGTCATTTCGCTTCTTCGATACTAGCGAGGAATAATTTTGTTTTTATTTTTTATATTTTGTTTGTGCTTTGAAGTTTCTTTAGCGGTTGGATTTGTTTTACGGAGTAGGGCTGCTAGCCCTATCTATGCCCAACCTTCCCTCTTTACCCGGGTTTAGGACCGGCTAATAACTAGTGAACTAGTTAACCAGGCGAGTTTAATTAATGCCATGACCATTAATAATTTTAGTAATAATAATATATAGTTGTAAAGCTTTTGGTAATAAACTGGATCCAAATGAGTTTCAGGAGAGATGACAGATTTTTCGTGTAAAATGAGAAAAACGTGTGTCGACCACGTTCTACCTCAATATTAAGGCTAGGCAAAGCACGAAAATTAATGGCTCCCGGCTACAATCCTTAAACTGATGTCTATGTCATTCAATTGAAAGGCGTTTAGGGATTTCATTCCATACAAGATTTGTTTATTTGATACAGCCAGTGCACGGTGAGGTAGTGTTATTTACTGGATGACGTTTCGAGCATAAATTATGACACAGCACCTTCGATATGTCATATTTATATACCTGTCACCAGCTATTCTTTATTTTTATTGCTGCTATAATTTTCCATAATCATATCTAGCTTACAAGTTCACCAGTTTACTAAACGGTCCTAAGTCCGGATAAAGAGGGAAAGTTGACAGTAGGGCTAGCGATCCCACCCCAGAAAACCAATTCAATCGCTAAGGAAACTTCAAAGCACAGACCCAAGTCTTTGCAAGAACTGGCGTGGAATCATGCTCCACTCCTATCCATCCCAAGCAAAATATTAAACCCAACCATCTTGGAGAGACTAAAAGGTGCTCTCGATTCAACTACATCACAACCGGAACAGACTCACTGGCTTCACGAAAAACAAATCATCTTCGCATCAAATGGCAACGCGATGCTACGCATCATCATACAATACAGTGTAGAATCGCAGTCAACTCTTTAACTCAACTTCATCGATTTTGAAAAGGCCTTCAACAGCGTCAACCCACCAGTAATTCGGAAACTGCTTCAACACTATGGTTTGAATACCAAAAACCTTTATCAACCTCATTCAACAGCAGCTATATGCTATATGATGATGATGCTATATGTCAAGTGATTCACAACGGAAAGCAGATCAGTGATGCCTTTGAAGTGGAGACAGTGGACAGGAGTAAGACAAGGTTGCTGCCTACTAGAGTTATCACCGATCATCCTCCTGATTGTGGTTGACTCAACTCGACTCGACTCGACTGGATTGGATTGAATCGTGGCACAGATAACTGTAATTAGCTGTGAGAAGATTGGCATACACTTTTTGACCGATGAAAATACACCAGAAGAAGATTTAGATTTCTCCGACGACTGATGTCTAATGTCTTGTCTCACAAACTCGAAGATCCACACGCAAAAACAAAACTAACAAGTTGACAGAATAGGTGAGACAGTGAAGACAGCACTTCCCTCAGGTGAACGTAGAGGAGACAGAGGTGATGAAGATACCCAACCAACACCATCACCACCACCACCACCACCACCACAACAACAACAACAACAAGCTCCAATCACCATCAACGGGAGAAACCTAAACGATGTAGTCTCTTTCACTTACCTACCCACCTAGACAGCATCGTTTCAATTACAGGAGACGCAGGCACAGATGTGGATTTCAGAGTCAGGATGGGAAAGACTGCAAGACAGAGCGCCCTTCATTCATCTGAAATAATCAGTGTGGAGATCTACTGCACTGCACTACACTCAGCATAAACAATAACATCCGGATTTCCAACACTAAGTAAGTCAATCCAGTGCTTCTATATGATGGTTGAGAGACTTGGGACGTTGCGAAAAGCATTTCCAACAAATCACAGACATTCATCAACAACTGCCTACGCTTGTTACTGAAGCTCAGATGGATTGCCAGAAAGAATAAGCAACAAGGAACTAACTCCGGCTGGGAACGAACCAACCAACAACCCATCGCCCAACAAATATGCAAGGGAAGGAAGTGGAGATGGATTGGGCATACACTGAGAAAACTATTCGAGGACATCATGAGCCAGGCCCTCGAGTGGAATCCAAATGGAAAACAACGAGTTGGGTGTCCGAGGGTGACATGTAGGAGATCATGTGAGAAAGAGATGAAAGCTTGTATGCAGTCCTGGAGCCAGGTTCAGGTGACTGCCGAGAACAGAGTGAAATGGAGACGTACTAGTGAAGCCGTATGTTCCATTAGGAACCCAAGGGACAAATAATAATGACTAATAATTTTCCATATCTCTGGTATAGGTGTTGCATCATTCAGTATGCGTTTATTTGACGAACAAAGATTCAGTAATCTCTCCCTCTACGTCTAGTTATATTGTTGGATTTTATAGCATCCTATTCTGCGGTTGTGTGTTAATCCATGCATGCCAGGATTGCAACAGCCGAGTTCCGTTCTACACTATTGATCTTATTCGAGTCTGTTATTTTATACTAGACCGAATTCTTATGTTCTCCTAGTCTAACTGAACCCCACAGGCTAGTTTGACTTATGTATTTGACCTCACAGTCATTACATGAAATTGTAGAAATTGCATTATTATCCTTAATTTTCCCTATCGGCTCCTTAAACCAGCCAACAAACCTTATCTCTGAGTGGGTTTGTAGGTTTAAACCCCACCCTAATTCCAGCCTTGTTCAAAATTCTCAACTGTAGTTATCATCAACTACTAAACTAGTATATAAAAGTTAGGTGATGATTTACAGAATTCCTCCAAGAAGCATTTGTATACAACAAACTTCTAATCTATTGTTAGAAAACTCGGCAAATGAGTTACTTGAAAGGAATGAAGGAAAAGAAGGGAGATAGAAAACTGTGATGAATATTATCATTGTCTGAACAAACATCGTTACGCTGATGTATGATCATTGAGGTAACCTGAAAAAGAAACTCAGTCACTCACTCACTCAATGGAGATGAGATCAGAAATTTGACAACATTCAGTTTCATCATGATTATCTAATAAGTGTGGTGTTGTGATGAAAAAGATAATCAGATCATCAAAATTACTCATTTTGATTAATATCCACTATACCAGTGTACATGGTGAAAAAAAAACAACAGGGATTCACACTCACTCAATATTTCGTGCATTATTGTTGTTATCATTACTGAGATTGACTTGCACATCACTGATGGTTTGCTCATACTGATTATTATCTCCACTTTCATCATCCCCATGATTAATATGAACAGTATGCCGATCATTATGAGATGTTGAATGAACATTGAGATCGAAAGTTTGGTATTCTTGTGAAATAAATTTATGAGTAGACAATTGTTCAGTACAGTGATCATCATCGGCGTCATGGGCATTATCATCAGGGAAGATAACAATAGGGGGATCAGTAACACTCATTGTTATCATATTGGCAGTAGTAGTAGTAGTAGTGTTGACAACGGTAGTAGAAACACTTTCCAATAGATTATTATCGTTAATTATCAAATCATTTGATAAAAATTTCAATTCTTCATCAGTATATGAAGATAGACATAATGGAGAAATAGTTGATGTTGATATAGTTAAGAAATCGGTGAAATCGTGTAAATCTTCAGGGCAATCAATTTCTTGAAGTGTTATATTCAGATCGACTTCATTAGGACTAATACTGTTATCATTTTGACTATTACTGTTATTATTATTATTATTATTATTATTATTATTATTATTATTGAGATGATGTTTTTCTTTCTGATGTAGAGTATGTCTAACATTAAGCACTCTATCGACATCTTCATAGTCGATATTCATATTTTTACTAAAGTAATCGATCGTTGATGATGAATATTGATAATCAGCATTAGGCCAAGGAATTACAGCATCGGATAGTAAATTATTCGACTCCTTATTACACCTGCTATTACAATCATTACTATGAAAGAATATTTCGTTTACAGTATAATTGTCTTCTTTATTTTCATCCTGATTATTATTATTGTGCTTTGACTATCCGCCATCGTTGACGAAAAGAAATGACAGACAGCAAAAAAACAAAAAAAAGGGTAAAAAATAACACAATAATTACAATAGTTGAATATTATTCAGTTCATATGAATCACACCCCTATCAATAATCATCATTAACAAAATAGCTTATGTTGTTCAACATTTAAGGTTCTATAGAGCTACGTCTTTGACCATCGTAGGTTCGAACCCTATTCCACGTACATCGGTTAAGGCAATTAGGTAGTATAATTTAATTAAGACCACACTACTAGCCATTATCTATCATTAAAATGTATAATCCTATAAGAAATCTTGGAATTATTTGGATTTTCAACACGATATGATATACACAAATGTCAACGTTTGTGCTTTTCTTTGAACCTTTCCTAGTTTTCTCATATCTCACTAATTTCCAAAAGAATTTCTCGTTTAAATGTTCTATATTAGGAAGCTGTGATAATCTGGTATAACTCAGACACTCCTGTGATATTTTATATACTTCTGTATTTTGCTTGTTCTCTTCTATTGCTCCCCTCTATTTTTTTTTCCGGTTCACTGAAAAAAGACTATGCTATACTGACTGTGTAGAACTTTAAAGATTGTCAGTAGAACTAATGATGTACTCCTAAACTTTCTAGTTAAAACTGTCCAGGATAAACATATTAACTTATGTAAACATCTGGCAGGAATTACTTTTATCAGATGACTAACATCCTCTTCACTCAAAGCTTTCTACGTATCGGTCATCTAGAAAGACAAGGAGCAAGTAAGTAAAACTTTATGCACGTACTAGTCAATATAAAAACTCTACAATACAGTATTTAGCTCGTCTGTAATGTGATGAAGAAAGTATTAGAAATGAACTAACTAATCAACTTGTGTTTTTGAAAACAAACTAACTGATAATGGAATGTGTTACTTTACACATATTATGAATCTAATTGTTAATGTCATTGTCTACATGAATTGATTGTGTAGTTTTGAAGAAAGTTGTAGACAACAGAGAATATTCTTATCCTTTTTTTTCAGGTAATTTCTACTTATTTTCATTTTGCTATGTATACATATAGACTGTCCCTATCCAATTGATGCTATATGATGTACTGATAATTCTATAGAGTATTCTTCAAATATCCTGCAGAATAAACCCATTACTATTATTACTATTATTATTATTACTAACTGAAAATTATCATTTTTCTTTGGATAATGTAATTAGAACACGTAGATTATCTCAAAAATGTGATGTATTAGCGCTATACATTTTGAACAATCTGATCACACATTTACTTGTTAAGGCATTATATATGAAAACTGGAAGTGTGGGAAGGATACATATGACATAAAGGAATTCAATAAATAATAAGAAAGATAATGAGAGGAATAAAAGATAAGACTTGAAGACAATCTTGGTAATACGATAAAATAAGCATTACCAAGGTAGGCTTAGTGTAAGGACAAACTGTTTGTTTGCACACACAATGGGGCGTTAAATTTATTTATGGCTAGCGCCTCAACAAACTTAAGTATACGCCCCTTGACAGTTTCTGTACAAAGTTGTAAAGGCTGTTTTGATATCAATTCTGTGACTCTTATCAATGATATGTTTCGCAATGGATGATGATGGTTGTCTGCCATCTGCGCTTACCAATGTTTGTGAATCCAGCTGCTTTCGTAGCCACTTTGGAACATGTTCCCCTACTCTCAAGTGCATATCACGATTAGTCGGGGGCGTATACTTAAGTTTGTTGAGGCGCTAGCCATAAATAAATTTAACGCCCCATTGTGTGTGCAAAAACAGTTTGTCCTTACATTAAGCCTACCTTGGTAATGCTTATTTTATCGTATTACCAAGATTGTCTTCAAGTCTTATCTTTTATTCCTCTCATTATCTTTCTTATTATTTATTGAATTCCTTTATGTCATATGTATCCTTCCCACACTTCCAGTTTTCATATATAATGCCTTAACAAATAAATGTGTGATCAGATTGTTCGAAATGTATAGCGCTAATACATCACACTTTTCAGATAATCTACGTCTTCTAATTACATTATCCAAATTCATAAAAGGGACTAATTGCTTCAAATATCATTTTTCTGTAAGTTTATTTCAAAGATCCCATATTCGACAAATTTGTATCCATTGTATATGACTTATTTTTTATATCAGAAATGATAGGCGCAAAAATGCAATTTCATAGATATTGTAAAAGTGTGAAGTCGATTGATGATAATTATTTAAACACTATTCATTATTTCAAGCTGTTATTCATCGAAGACTGACATCAGTTGGAGGAACAAAGGAAACCTGGGAGCACTCGACAGCTGTTTCGTCCTAGTATGGCACTCCTCAGCAGTGCGCACCCACGACCCCACCAGCAGGGATCGAAACCGCGACCTTCAGGTTCCGCGACCAGCGCGTTACCATTGAGCCACTGGGTCAGAATCCAATGCTCCATATTTCCAACTTCTGTTAGCTCACGATATATTCATTATTATTGTGTAGAAAGATTAATTTACAAATGAATTACGAATTCAGTGGTCCATGTTAATACTTTTCATAGTAATTTTATGATAGAATTTAGAATTCTCAGCATGATATATTGTAACAACAACAAAAAATTAACGTGTATGTATATCGTTCTTTATATACACGTATATTCTTCTTCAGCGAGAAGATGAGTACACGCTGTTTCCCCGATGAAAAGACACCAAAAGAAGATTTGGATTTCACCGACGACTGTTATCTAATGTCTTGTCTCACAAACTAGAACATCTACAGACGAAAACTAACAAGCTGACAGAAGAGGTGAGACAGTGAAGACAAGACTTTTTTCATCTGAACTTAGAGGAGACGCATGTGATGAAGATACCCAACTAACAACAACAACAACAAGCACTAATCATCGTCAACAGGAGAAATCTAAACCAAATTGTCCCACTCATCAACCTACCTACCTAGACAGTATCATCAAAACTACAGATGGCACAGATGAGGATGTCAAAGCGAGAATCGGAAAGACAGCAGGACAGGCCTTCATTCATTCATCTCAAATAATCAGTGTGCAGATCTATTGCACTGCACTACACTCAGCAGAAACAACATCTAGATTTCCAACACTAAGTAAGTCAATCCAGTGCTTCTATGTGATGGGTGAGAGACCTTGGGACGTTGCGAAAAGAATTCCCAACAAACTGCCGGCAGACGTCACACCAACTACTATCACCTACGCTCACTCGATATTGAAGATCAGATGAGATGGCTAGAATAATAAGAATAATCAACAAGGAACTCACTCCATCTGTCAACGAAACAAGTGACCAAGAACCTGTCACGCAACATACATGGAGGGAGGAAAGTGGAAATTAATTGGATTGGATCGGATCGGATCGGACATAGACTGAGAAGATGGTTTGAGGACATGACACACCAGACCAGTCAAGGTGGTCGAGTGGAAGTCAAATGGGTAACGACGATTTGGGCGTTTTAGGCGAGGTTGACATGTAGGAGATCATGTGAGGTGGAAATGAAAGGTTCTGTGGGAGTTGTGTAGCCATGTTTGAAAGACTGGAGATAAGAAAGTGAGATTGTGATGTGCTACTGAAGCTTTTTGTTCCACTAGGAACCCAAGGGACAACATTTCGAGTTGTATTTGGAGGTTTATGGGAATTTAGAGATTTGTTCAAGTTGGTATTCATCATGGACTCACATTAGTTGAAGGAACATTGAAAACCTGGGAGCATTGGACAGCTGTTTCGTCCTAGTATGGAACTCTTCAGCAGTGTGCACCCACGACTCCACTAGGGATCGAACCTAGGACCTTCAGGTTCCGTGACCAACACGTTACCATTGGATTACTGGGTCAGAATCCAATGGTCCATATTTGCAACTTCTGTCAGTTCACGACATAGTACGACCATCAGTCAATGTCATCGTTGAGGATTTGTTCTTACAGCCACCAGGTTTGCGCCAAATTTAATTGAACTAGTGCTCATTTATGACTAGCTTCGAGAGGTGGTTTCTGAAGTCGTGACCAGTGGGGCAAAACCTGGTGGCCATGAGACAGTACTCAACAATGACATTGGGCGACGGTCGCGAAATGTCGTGAACTGATAAAAGTTGGAAATATGGATCACTGGATTCCAACCCAGTGGCTGAATGGTAACGAGTTGGCTACGAAACCTGATGGTGTTGAACTCGACCGCTGGCAGGGTCATGGGTGCACACTGCTGAAGAGTTCCATACTAGGATGCAACAGCTGTCCAATGCTCCCAGGTTTCCAATGTCCCTTCAACTGATGTCAACTCATGATGAATACCAACTTGAAAAAATTTCGAATTGTGTTATTAAATCATTGCCATGTAGTTGTTAACTGTTACAAAGTTATTGTGTGATTTCTCTTCTAACACTTTTTCCCTCATATAATATGCGTGCTAGGTAAGGAATAGTCGAATTCTTATACTCAGCTGTACAAGCGTACAGTCTTATGTAGTTTTTTTTGTCCTCCCTACGAAGATACATGGAGAGAACTGTGAATGAAGTGAATGCTCAATATCAGTTAAAATTACTTTAGCTAGTTGCCTGATGCGATTTAAATGTCTATAAACTACAGTGTTAATCAGTTGAGCCAGAGGCCCACCACTCACCCTGCTGACGGTCTTCAAAGCCCCATACAGTATAACATATTCCAGGAAAGATCGATGGAGAACAATAAAGAAGAATAGGCAAAATGCAGGAATTAATAAAAATGCAAGAAAGAATAGATTGAATTATACCAGAGACTCTCAGTTTGTTTATGTAATAAAGTTAGACGAAAGATTTTTTTACAAGTCAACAAGATATGAGACGATCATCAAAGATCAGAAGTGAAACTCACTTCAAGATATTTAATATAGTTAGTCCTTACATGATGGGTGTAGTTTACTATCTGTTGTATCAAAATTTATGCATACTAATTATCTACCCCAAAGTTTAAGATTATAAAAAGGTTAAAGGCGG